GTTTTTCTGAATTTTGAGAGAATAATGACAGTAGTAACAACGGTAATCTTTATTTAGTATGTGCTCATTCTCCAGCTGGCCCCCATCTAAGTACTTTCCACCCATTGCTTGATTCCATCCTTGCCCCCTAAAGGTTAGGAGATGACTTTCCTCCTCATTTTGTAGATAAGGACTCTGAGGCTCTGAGGCCGGGTGACCTGCCAGGGTCACCACATGTGATGCAATAAACAGACTGGGGCTGTGGTGTCAGGCCCATTTTGTAATCCAGCTTTGACATTTTCTGGCTGAGGTAACCTTGGAATAATTATTTAACATCCTTAATGATCAGTCTCTTCTATATCTGAAAAATAGGAATAATTGCTCATAGTGTTACATGAGGATGGAGTGAAATGATATGTAAATTGCTTCACATAAGTTGCTGAGAGACCCTACACAGAGCTATAAAGCATTTCCATTTTCAGGGTTATGAAAAATTCCTTGCGTTGATATGGGGTTACGGTGCTCCACTCTCTTGTTGGGGAGGAAGGCCCCTGATATCACTTGCAAAGGACTTATTGCCTCTGTGACCTTGGGCTGGTCACTTAACTAACTTTCCATGCCTCACTTCCCTCATCTCTGAAATGAGGGAAGGTAGGAATCATTTAGGTACTTGGGCCAATATTTTGCATATTGACAGGTTAGGAAGGATGGAATGGAATGCAGAGTATTGCAGTCAGAAATCAGGCAGAGGGCTGAGGAAAAGCAAAAGTTCTGTGGTTTCTCCAGTACTGTTTCGTTCACATTCACTTGTGATGGGTGTCTAGTTGAAATGGCCATCAGCTGGGTCAGCTGAGCCAGTCAGTCCAGTAGGTCTCCATGCAGGCATCCTGCCCTCCAGCCCGCTACTCAGCCATCTCTCTGGAGCCATCTTGTCTGCAGTTTGCCCTGAGATGGCACTATGGAGATAATGCGCGGTCAAGTTTGCTTTTCTCCCTTTCATTGCTGTTCCTGCAGGCTGAGAGCAAATTGGAACAGCTTTTCTTTTCTTTTTCTTCTTCTTCTTCTTTTTTTTTTTTTAAAGTTCTGTGCCTTTTAAATATTCAAGGACTTCAATGATGAGAATACGTTTAAAGGAAAATGAAATGCATATAAAGTGTAAGACACATTTTTCATAGTTCGAATGGCCTTTAAATGATTAGAAAACTAAGGCTAAAAGGAGAAACTGTTTATTTTTTATTTTTTATTTTTCTTAGTGTTTATCAGTTTAGAGTTAACCTTGCAAATATATTTCGGATGCTAAGATATATAGTAAATAAGTTGATTTGGAAACTAAATGCTGGTCGTGATGTAAATTATTCATGCCATCGTGGGGTAGCACATGCTTCCTGCATAATATATTGGTTTTTTTTTTTTGTTTTTTTTTTTTCGTAGTTACAGCACTTTCCCATTTATGCTCTACAAATAGAGGAGTGGAATCTCTCATTGTTTCTTGTTTCCCCTCTTTTATTGTGAATTCTTGTGTGACCTTTCAAGTACTGGATACAACGATGACTCCCAGTGTCTTTGAAGGGATGATTGAGTAAAGTTTCAGGCATTTGGAAGAAAGACAGGTAACGCAGGTTAGTAGAGTAAGAAAAACCTGTGTTCACATTCCATCCTGTGCTGTCCATCAACTCGGCAGAGATTCTCATTTTACTTATATGTCTAACACATGTAGCATGGCAATTGTAGAAGCTTCACCAAATCTAGTTCCCCATCCTCTGTCCCTAAGCTGCTTGTGGGAAGGGAGCTAATTCAATAGAATTATTGATAATACAGATACTAAAAATGTGTAGCTGTTGCTAGGAGTAAGATTGCTGTGGGATCATAAACTGAAAATTTGTGTTCATTCTCTAAGATCTGTATTTCAGGTTTTTGTTGTTGTTAAGATCAGCCTAAGATTTCTACTGGTACTATCCTTATTAGTCAGTGGTAGCCAGAAGATACGGTGACTGTGGGCATCTGGTGGGCTCCCCAGCCACTCTGCTTGGGAGCAGCCACTGGCTTAGGAGAGCATCAAAGACGTTGGATCCCTTTGCAGAGTCAGTACAGGGTTCTGGAAGTATAAGGAAGCCTAAAAGGAAATAGGGCTCACAGCAGCCTCTACTCAGGGAATTGTGTTGGTTTTGTTGTTGTTTTTATTTTGAGAGTAAAATTTCATAGATCAATGCAGAATTCAAGATGTTTAAATATGAATTTTTGACTAATCATTTCCAGCTTACATGCAGTCTCACTGGAGCTCTTAATTCTTTTAAATCATTTTTGGCTTCCCGCCTTAGCTATTTAGAATGTAGCAAATACACCTTTGGTCCTCCTTCTCTGTAGTTTACATATTTATGATTTCAATATGTTCTTAGATAATTCTGGATACACATCTGTCACTGATGGGAATGGACAAAGTCCCCTCTTATATCCTGGTGATTTTGTGGTATAAAAGAAGTTTTCTTAGTAGAGAGCTGGTCCTGCTAGCCAATTTGTTTATTAATAGTAATAGTACTAGCTTAGGATCAACTACCCTAAGATGCAAATCATTTTTACCAAAAGTTCTGTCCTTAGAATAAACGAAAGTTAATATCAATGTTGCAAAAGCACAGTTGCAGCAGATCATACTCTTGGATATTTGCTACAAAGAAATGTAGCCAGTTCAGTTCTCTAGGCCTGAGGTTTTTGAATCCTGTCCAGCCATGCTGCAAAGGTTCGGTGAAGTAGTCTAACGGGCCAGCCTTGGGAGCAGCCAGGCAAGAGGGCACAATCTTATTTCAGTTGGATCACTCCACTTTGATGCTTCTCAGGATTGGTATGCAATACAGAATTTGAAGAAAAGGTTTTGGTTGCTAATCCAAGTACTGTCTTCATCCGTGAATCCAGGCAGACTGTCAGAGAGCTGCCCTTGAACTGCACTGCTTGACTCCTCGATAGGATTTTTTTTTTTACTGATTATGTACTTTTCCACTGTGCCCTTGCAGTGTTCCAGGAGAGCCAGTCTGCTGTATATGGCTTGCCACTGTTTCTTTTATTTGATGAAGGGCTGTGTTCAGCACAATGCTGGGCACATCATCTGTGTTTATGAGGAGTCATGGGGTAAAGTCTATCAGTGCTTGAGAGCAGAGCTGTGGCTTCTCCTAAAACACTAGTGAGAAATGGAGATCGAATTTTCTCCTGCAGACATGAGGGCTTTAGTAGCCGCTTCTTTCTTTGGTCACTAGGAAGCTCACAGTCAGATTCCCTCCCTGCTTTTAGCAGTCTTGTGGGTAAATATGTACGGACAATAATTTCTACTGTTGGGGCGCCTGGGTGGCTCAGTGGGTTAAGCCTCTGCCTTCGGCTCAGGTCATGATCTCAGGGTCTTGGGATCGAGCCCCGTGTCGGGCTTTCTGCTCGGCAGGGAGCCTGCTTCTGCCTCTCTCTCTCTCTCTGCCTGCCTCTCTGCCTACTTGTGAGCTCTCTCTCTGTCAAATAAATAAAAAAATAAATCTTAAAAAAAAAAAATTTCTACTGTTGATAACCTTTTATTGTTCAATCCTTTCGTCCCCCTCCACCTATGTTTCTTAATCCATTTTCCCCATACGAGCATGGTAGCACATCCTCTCCAGGCTTCTTAGCTCCAGGCAGACTTTTCTTTCTTTCTTTTAAAAGATTGTATTTATTTATTTTGCAGAGAGAGACACAGTGAGAGAGGGAACACAAGCAGGGGGAGAGGGACAGGGAGAAGCAGGCTCCCCATGGAGCAGGGAGCCCAGGCTCCATCCCAGGACCCTGGGATCACAACGCAAACCGGAGGCAGACGCTCAACTGACTGAGCCCACCCAGCTGCCCCCAGACAGACTTTTCTTATTATCATTTGGGAAACTACCTGGATACCCTGTAGGCACATCAGACTTAATATTCTCTAAAGGGAACTCTTTCTGTCTTTCTTTTCAAACCTGCCCCTCTTCTCCTTTCCTCCTTTGGTAAATAGGTCCCATCTGTTTGGTCATGGAAGTTGGCAGTTTTGCTGTCTTTGTTGTCTTCTTTCTCTCATATCTCATCCAGTGGTTAACCGAATCTGGCTGCTACACCACATTTCAGATCTCCCCAGAAGCTTTCATCAGTTCTTGCCTGGACTCTTTGCCTAGTTTCCTGTCTAGCCTCATCTACCATGAATCTGTGATGCATACTGAGGTCCGTTATTTAAAAATCATTTGCTCTCCTAGAATTCTTATTTCTGTTACTTACAGAATGAAGCCCAACTCACTTACATGACATTCAAGGGTCTTCATAATGTGCTCCCCAGCCTGTCCATTCCTCCCTCTCCTTTGCCTCCTTCCCAGCAGCCATAGGCCCACTCAGCAGCCCCTCAAAACAAAATGCATGTAAGTACCGAGTTCTCAAGGCCTCAGGTGCCCTTCCTGGTTCCTTTAAACCTTTATTTTCCTAAGGCTCCTCTCACGTAATACGTTGTGTGAGATTTCCCTTTTTTTTTTTTTTCTCACCATGGAAGATCTAATTGCATCCTCCTCAGTCTTTCCATATCTCTTTCTTAATACTAGTGTTAGAGCCTTCTTTGCCCTATTTTGGACTTTACTGTGTGTGCGTGTTTCTTCCCAAATCATGAGCTCCTCAAGGAGTTTGGCTAAGTTGAAGGAGGGAATAGACCCGGTATCTGCCAACCCTCCTCTTACAAACAAAAGTAGATGGACTGGGGGACTGTGGAGTCCTTAGGACTGAGAGTTTCTTCCGTGGGTAAGGATTGAAAGCATGGCTAATTAACCTTTGATCTTAAAATGTTAATAGTATATGTACTCTGTGTAATGCGAAATTTGTAACGTCATCATGATAAAGGTTCTAGCAGTCATTGTGAGTTTTTATAATTTCTGTACAGAAGAAACTTACCTGGTTTTCTTTCTTTTCCTTTTTTTGTTTCTGGGTTTTTTTGTTTGTTTGTTTTTGTTTGTTTGTTTGTTTTTAGGAATAGGCAAGTCAAGAGGCTGAAAATCTGAAGAATGTTTTCAAAGGCTAATCTGGCTGTCCCTTGCTGGTTATGGAGGAGCATGAGGAAGCTATTTCTGTTACTTTCTGTCTTGCTGTCCCATGCAGCTCATTTGGAAGGCAAAAAGGATAATCAGTTCATCTGGAAACCAGGTAGGAATATCCTGGCTGTTCTTTTGTCTCATTTTCGTTAATGAGAAAAATATTCTTTCCATCCTTATTCTTATTTCTGCAGTAGTAGGAAATATCCAGAGAGGAAAAACAGACTCCTTTTCTTTATAATAAAGCTTACATTTAATTTTTATTTCTGCATAATTGTCACCTCTATCTGTGATGCTTGTTATACTTGTGAATTTTCATGTTGTTGTCAATTAAAGTTATGATTTCCATAGTTACATCTGCTTCTCCTTTGTCAAATATATCACCACTGTGCAGCACATTTCTAGCAAGAATGACATCTGAGTTTAGCTGATATTCTCAGCTAAAAATGCATTGGACCAGTTCTGTATATCTCTTTCTTTTGGCTGACAAATTAGTTAGCTATTTATTATTGAATATTTTCTAGCCTAGATCCTACATATCTAGGTTTGGGAGCATGAAAAATTATCCTAACACCTTTACTCATTAACTGTGACTATGAAGTCTCCTTAATGTGTTTTGAGATCTTGAGCTACCTTGTACATAAGTATATGGATAAGTTGAACTGAAATTTGGAGGCTTATACATAACTCATGCTCTTCTCTAAGCATTTCCTTAATTTGAGTGTGAGAAAGATCTGTTAAATTTAATTTTAAAGGCAATACTTTATTATCTTAAATGATGGACCCAAACATCTTGGCTCTTTGTATCACTGATGTGTTTCTTTGCTCTAGATTTTAATTTTCTTCAAGGTTCATAATCAGATCATTTAAAATATTTATTACTCTTTCAGGAGTCCATTCTTGCAAATACACATAACTTAGGCACTTAATATCTTGGAATAGGAAAATGGGATGTTGTGGAGTACGTATGGTCCTAGAAGAGTTTTCATTTTATTCTCATCAGTTGTAAATTAAATAGACTGCAAATGTATTGTGTCACCATAAAAAATGTACAAAAGTGATATTTGTAATATTTAAATGACTTTGCAAAAATGAAAGTAAATTATGCTTTAAAGTATATTAAGTAAAAAAACCCAGCGCCATTAGAGATATGGCTTGTAGGAAATTTAATTGCACTAAAGCCCTTATAAATTAATTTAATTGTGCGCTCTAATACCACATTAGTGATTTGTGTTTTTTACCTCATAGTAGTATTAGTAAGCTTTGGAAATAGTTCTAAAAGTCAATCTTGCAATTCTGTGAAAGAGGCTATTTTGTTTTAATCACAAAAGGCTAAACATTTTATCAAATCTAAATGAGCATGTTTATATGACTTCACTCTTGTCTAAAGTTCTTCCAAAAAGTGCAATTAAGATGGAAAGTAGCAAATCTGAACCACAGATGAGATGTGTGGAGAAAAAGGACTTACTTGGTAGCCAATTTTCAAAATAAGTCTGCTTTTCTAAAAGCAGGTCATTGGAACAAGATGGTATAGACCCATGTGGCAATGGATGTATTCTTTGATAACTGTCAAACTTCAGTTTCAGAGATACGTTCCTTCCCATCAGACACATTGGATTGTTCCAAACGAGCATCTCTGTCATCATTTGCATTTTCCCTAGTGTTCAGTACTTCTTTCCCTCCTTAATATGCCATCAAGAGGGTAGTAAATATGTATTTCCTGTTTGGGTTGCTTCGAAATTACAAATGTATTACATGTATATGACCAGATATTTTAAGAGTAGAAACAATTTTAAAGATACAAAATGGAATGCCAAAGTCCAGACCATATGTTTCATTCTCCAATCTATTATGTATCCTTCAGAGATTTTCTTTGGACACGTAAGTACCTCTCCATGCATGTATGTGGGTATAAACCATATAAGATACACACAGACACACACAAAGTATTCGTAGTATTATTATTTATGGTTCTGACGAAAAAGACAGTGTCTATGCAGAGAAGGTCATGGGGAACAGTTTAATAAAAGGACTACTTGCAAAAGTGGGGAGGTGTGAGCAGAGAAAAGCTGCAAGGAATTGTGGAGTGCCCCTGAGCTAGTGCCAGTCTTTATGACTTGTGGATCTGCAGGGGCAAGGAAAGGAAGTGGCTTCTGGAATCTGGAGGGAAACTTTATGGAGAGGATGCCCAGCCGATGTCGTGACCTTTAGAGGGATATAACCAACCTGCTGTGAGAAGTAGGAAAAGGGCCAGGCAACTGAACAGCCCTCACCCTTGTATCTCCTGCCAGGGCTCTCACTGGCTGAATCCAACTAGAAGCCGCAAGGCAAGGGACCCTTATTGATTTATCTATGCAGACCAGACTCCTGGACAGGGAGCAGAGTAGAAATTGGTGGAGAAGGTGGTCCTTAAAATACCTAATTCATACATGCATATAGGTACATACATATACGCACTTTACTTCATACAGTCAGAATCTTACTATGTGCCCTTTGTTTGCAGCTTGCTTTGATCACATAATGTGTTGATGTACATTATCTATGAGTGCAAATGGGTCAATTTCATTTTTTAATGGCTATATAGTATTCTTTTGTATTTTTATTCAGTAATTTATTTAACCAGTGCCTTGTGGCTTTATATTTTCTTCTCCTATTCCTCTGCATTTCAGCAGTTTTTACTCTTTTGCTACCATAAATTGTAGTGACATGTATGCAACACTATTTAAAAGGTAAACAATAATGTCATTTTGAGGAGTCATATGCAGTAGAGCAATTCTGGGTCATTACCTTCAAAGGCAATTTTAACATCTTAGAATCTATTACTATGTATGTGAGTCTATTATATTTCATTTGGATTTTTTTTTTTTTTTTAAAGAACCTGCATTGCAGGTGACATCAGTTTCATTTTGGGAGTATAATACCAAATCTCACAACTCAGGTCCAGTGTATTCTGGAATTTGAACAGCTTTCCCAGGAGACCCAAATAAGTATATTTGAGAAACCTAGAAACCATTTTCTGGGTTTAGATTGTAGTATTAACAAATTAAAGCTTTTTGTTAGTGTCTGTTGTTTTCCCTTGAGTCCATAGATGAGCTGTTAATCAACCTCATTCAAACTGGAGGCATTTCTAAGTGACTCCTGGTTTTGGACAATGTATTGATGAATAATAAGTGATTGGCACATTAGGTTGCTAAGGATTCCTGTACTGACTGAGAGAAAGTCTGGTGAGCTGTAGGCTGTGGGGTCATTGATCTGGCAAGGCTGTTGCTGAATGCCTGTCATCATTGTGATGGGATCCTTTGATCTATTTTTAGTGTCAAGCAGTCTGCCATCCATGCTGAGGAAGAAGGATTGTGTAAGCAAGAGTACCAGATAAGGACTGATGTTGCTTGTTGCTTTAAGTAAATATGTAACTATTCACATCTGCATGCCTTGTAGAGATGAACAGATCATGGTTTCTGACACCAAAGTAACTAGTGGTCTCAAAACATTTCTCAGTATTGGTTCTAAGGGGTTCATTCATTCCACTAATACCTGTTGAGTCCTTACTGTGTGTCAGGCACTTTTACAAGCACATGAGATAAACTGAGAATAAAACAGACAAAGGCATAGGGTAATGAACATGATCAGGAAGGTGAATAAACAGTATGCTAGATGGTGCTGAATGTTTGTAAGGAAAGAGAAGGCAAGGAAGAGGGATATGCAATGAGAGGTGAGAGGCTTGAATCACCAGCAGATGGGCTGTGGGATGCCTCACTGAGGAGGTCATTTTGAATAAATACCTGAAGGAAGAAGGGAGCCAGCCATGGGGAGACAAGGTAAAGAATTTTCCAGATGAAGGGAGCAGCAAAGGCAAAAGACCCAGAGGCAGGAGTGTGTGAGTCATGTTTGGAGACCAGAGAAGAGGCCAGCATGCTGGAACAGAGTGAACATGGGGGGACAGTGATAAATCAGGTCAGAGATGGAACGGGACCCATCAGGTGTGTCCTCAGAGGTCAACATTACAATTTGGCTTTTGCTCTCAGTGAGACAGAAAGATACTGGAGAATTTTGAGAGGGAGGTGACATGATCTTGATTTTTAATAAGATTTTAGTAGAACCATTGTAGGTGGTCTGTTAAGAATGGTGGAAGAAAAAAAAAATGGTGGAAGCAGGGAGGCCTATTAGGAGGCTTCTGTAAAAATAATGAGGAATGATGATAATAGCTTGAGCCAAGGTCATGGCAGTGAAGGTGGTGAGGAGAGATTGAACTCTGGGTATACTTAAGGTCCTGGTTTTCAACCAGAGGTGATTTTGCCCAGTATAGAAGCCCCTTCCAGTAGACAACCCCCAGAACAATGACCGGGCCCTCAAGTCTCGGTAGTGCCCTGATGGAGAAATCCTGATAGAAGGTAAAGTATCATGACTTACTGCTGTGCGGGGGAAGCAAAGAGGTTCAGGGGTGACACGGAGACTCTGCCCTGTGCAGCTAGGTGAGTGAAGCTGCGGCCACTTAATACAGTCTGACTGTGAAGGAGCTGGCATGGAGTGACCAGTTGCAACTTGGGACTGGACATGTGATGTTACTGAGCCTGTGAGAAATTTGTGGGAGATGCTGACCAGGAAGTTGGATATGTGGGTCTGAATTCAGGAGAAAGGTCTCTGCTGTAAGGGAGATGTAAATTTGGAAGTCCCTAGCAAAGAGGTAGAATGTAAATGTATAGCCTTAGAACCGAAGAGGTGACCTTGAAATGTGTGATCTGTGTATAGAGGACACATTTCTAACAAGTTTCTGTGGGGCCAAAGGACATTAAAAATTAGAGTAGTAAAATACGCATAACATAAACTTTACTCACTGTAACCATTGTGAAGTATACAATTCAGTGACATTCAGTATGTTCACAGCTGGTGGGGACGTCACCACTCCCTAGTTCCAGAACATTTTCATCACTCCAAATTACATTTTGCGAGTGAGTTTATAAAAAGACTGGAAAACAAGTTTTGCTATGAATAATAAGGTATGAAAGGGAAAAAAAATCCACATTTGTCTGTGAGAAGATCTTTTAATAGCCTTAAGTCATCCTAAGAGATCCTTTGAGTATATGAGAAAGAGCTATAGCTTCGAATATAGAC